GCATTCTACTTCAGTCAACAGGGTTCTAAAGGACACATCTTCGAGAATGTTGCCATGCTCTCGCATCAATACAGACAAAATTGACCTGACAGACCGTATCTGGCGCTCCCAGACGCCACCCATGTGGGACGCTGCCGGAGGATTCTGCTTCCACTGGATAATCCAGTCAGCATTGAAGTCTCTACAAAGGCTCCCTTAGATTGCCCTATGGTCAAGCTCGTCTACAGCTTTCCTTAGTTCTCTTTCTGCTCCTACGATGTTGGTGCCCTGGTCTGATCTGATCTCACGTACTGGCCCTCTTCTTGCTATGAATCGTCGTAGGGCGTATGAATCGTGGGGCGTTTCTGAGGGAATCCGTTTCCAATGAGTTGGCCGTTTCGATGTGCACCGCTCGGCAAGCGAGGCATGTAAATAGTACTCCATAGCGTTTAAGATTTTTCCCTCCTTGCTTGATGTAGAAGGGACCAAAGTAATCAACGCCACTGTACGTGAAGGGAGGAGAGGGGATTATTCGCTCTTTAAGAAGATCCGCCATCTTCTGTTCACCAATCGTTCCGCGAAGACGATAACACTCTACGCACTTGGAGATGAAATGCCACCCAACGGAATTGGCATTAAGTATCCAATATTGACTTCTTAGCTGGCGCAGCGTAATGCCACTGCCTGCATGGGAACCTTCTTATGGGCGTCGCGAACTATGAGGTCCACGATGAAACTCTTCTTAGGGAGGACAACAGGGTGCTTAAAGTGTTCTGAAAACTCTTGTGACTTGCTTAGCCTTCCGCCAACACGTACGAGTCCGTCCTGGTCCGAGAAAGGATCAAGGCGATACAAGGTACCAGATTTCTTAATTTCGGACTTCATTTTCCTCGCGAACTGGCGGTCATTCTCACAATCTACCCGTCGAACTCTCTGCAGAGCTTCTATCTCTTTAGGAAATGCACTGCTTTGTACCAGGTTCAGAATGGTCTTCTCTGCTCTGTCCGGCTCTTCTACTCTAAGGGGTTCGCATTTCACCCTTGCTGTGCGTCCCACTTTGTCTTGTCTATCCTTGGGAAGCAATGCCCTGTCATTAGAGTTTGGTTTTAGATGGAGTATCCAGGCAATAGATCTTTTCATGTGGTGCCACTCGGAAAAGTGTGCGAGCCTCTTCAAAAGGTCTGCGGTCTCCTCAACATTCATGCTGTGCACAAGAACCTTCTTAACCTCAGGATCATTATTCGAAACATCGTCCAAGTCACTAGGAGGTTGAGGCCATTCGCTCTCAGGTTGCCATAGGAAATTTGGACCTGTAATCCAACGGTGTTGTTTGGATAGCTCTGACTCTTTAGACAACGTGACGAGTCGTCAGCTAGATTGATGTCGGTTCCAACATACCTCCACTGGATTCGTAGCATCTCTTATTGTTTGCACGCGATTCGCTACAATCACGTGAAAGCGCTTCTTGTCATTTCGGATGTAATTCAAAACAGTTGTAATGTCCATCCAATAAGTCTTGCTCTCAGGAGGTTCGTCTATCTCTATTGCAATCATTTCTCCCACTCTAACTGAAACTGTGGCCGCGGTAAGCTCAAGGCGTGGAATTGTCATGATCTTCACGGGAGCTGCGCGGGCCTTCCCCATAAGGAACGCACAATGGACATCTCCTTTCTCATTCTTGATTCTGAGGTATGTAACTTGACCGTAACCCGTTGAGCTAACATCAGAAAAACTGTGTATCTGTCTAGAGACAACTGTACAAAAGTTTGCAGGTCTGAGACATCGCTCCATAGAAAAACGTTCCAGGGCAGGTAACTGGCTTTTCCAATTGTCCCAGCGTACGCGGTACTCTTCGCCAATATCTTCATCGCAGCTTAACTTCGTGCGAAATAGATCCTGCAGTATTGACTTTCCGACCAACATAATGGGTGCTGCTATTCCCAGGGAGTTGTAAACGGAAGATATCGTAGACAATATTCCTCTTCGGGTTAGCGGCTGGTCGTTAAGAATGATTCTGAAACCAAACGTATCCGAGTCGGTTGCTCATTGCATGCCGAGAGCTTTCTCAAGCGGAAGTTCACCACTGCCTAGCTCCAATGTTCTAATGTCTTGGGCCTGTGATTCGTCTGGGACACTTTCGAGTACAAGTCTACTATTGCTAGAAAACCTTGGCCAAATTGAAACCTCCATGTGCGCAGGCATGGCGAACACCACGTATTCTTTGGATAGCAGACTCCCTAGTTTCCTCTGTACGAAAACAGTCGTCAACGTAGAAATTCTTCCTGAGCACGTTGGCGGTTTCTGGGCCAACGATCTTCTCGGCATCATCAGCTGCTCTTTGAATGACCTGTTCCTTGTTCTCAGGGAAGCGTACATCATCACAGCGGAATTGAAGAGGAATCTCATAATGACTTTCTTCTGTACGCCGAGTACCCTGGGTAAAAATCTTGAGAAAGACCTTGTCTTCCTGTGAGTAACCTTGTTCCTTGTCATCAGTTCCTTCGCTGAGGTCTAGCTCGAACATCCTGTTCAACGCTCGTGGGGTAACGATTTCTCGGACTTTGTTCTCTGCCACGAAGTGGTGATCGAGGTGTTTACCAGAACAGACTTCCTTTCCAGAAACTCTATGGCAATTTACTGTGGGATGCCTTTCACTACACATCCATAAAGGGCCTACTATTGCCCATCCATGTTGCAAACTTTACAGGTGATCGCAGAGTTACGAGAATCAATCTTGTGGTGAGCGGTTACACCAGTTGCATGATTGGAGACGTGATGCGAGGCGCGAGTACAGTCTCCATAAGTTTTAGGCTTCGCAGGACCTTTGCCTATGTTTGAACGATCAGGTCGATCCGATAAGCAATCCACGCGACGAAGGGCCCCTCGGGAAAAGATGGGATCTGTAGCAATGCTTGCTTCGGTGCTTACAAAGCTCACGAAATCATCAGATGTGGGGGTCGTTCCTCTAGCAAGCCTTTTCTTATTGGCTTCTCGACGCCACTGGTCTTGCAATGTAAAAGGAAGCTTTGACACCATGCTTTGCAAGTTGTGCGGATGGTCAAGTATGGATAGATAGGTTAAGGTGGACATCGCACTCTGGCGCTGACCAAGAAAGATAGAAAGTCGGTGTAACGCTAGTTCATCTCCCGACCGTATGTAGGGCCACTCGTTAATCTCCTTAATGTACGCATTCAAAGTCTTATACGGATCTCCATATTTCTCCCTAAGGAGCCTCTTAGCTTCTATGTGGCCGCTGTTTCTATCCAGGTCAAGACATCCTTTGATGAGCTCCTTCGGTTCCCCTTGCAAGTATTGTTCCAGGTATTGCAAACGGACATCATTTGCACTGACTCTAGCTTCCACTTGCGATTCAAAGCTTCTAACAAATGTGGATCTAACAAATGTGGATTCCAAGAGATCGCCAGTAAAGTTAGCCAGCGTGGGGGACGAAAGGAAACTCTGTTGTTGTTGTTCCGCTAACAATTCGGTTAATCTTGTTTGTTCCTGAAGAATGTCACAAAACTGCGTATTTGGCTGTAAGTCGGCGACGTGAAACTCATGTGCAAGAGGGTTTAATTTAGTAGGATGTCGTGTAGGTTGAAGAGGTGTTAGTACCATAGGAGTGTCAACATGTAAACCCGCAGTGAAGTTGACGTTTGTTATAGTGTTCAACGTTGCGCTTCGATCAGTATAAAGACTGGTCACAGCCGGAAAAGACGGCCCTGGTTGGGAAAATTCTGGAACACGAAGGGCTTCTGATGCATTTCCGGCTGGTTTGTGGCTTAAATCTTCCTTGGCCCCATTCTCGATTTCTGCAAACACACGTTCACGAACTTGAGCAACTGCCAACTGTTCTTCTAACCGTAGTCTTTCAGCCTTTTTCTCCAGCTCTTGCCTTTGTTCCAACATAGCTACTTTTGTCAGCAACTCGGCCGCCTTAGCCTTTTCTTTCGCTCTGCTAGAAGTGATCAAGGATCTTGATGACGCATGTAAATAGTGCGATGCTCGTGTACGCTTCGTGTACGATCTAACCTCCAAATTCTGCTCGATGGCCTCTTTCGCAGACGAAATACAACAAGCGGTTTTTCCAATAAAATCGCTTATTTGCTTACTCCTTTCTGCGTACCAATCGTTAGCAACGTTTAGCTGGTCACCTTCGTCCTACAGGTCGTCCAACAGTGCAGCGACACGTCTCGTTAGTTCTTCTACGGTGACGCGAAAGGCACTCAGATTCCTTTCCTTGACGTCCACGTTTTCTTCGATAGTCGCCAAAGAAGCTATTTCCTTAATTTGCCCTTGGATTCTTTTACCAACAGTTTGATAGTCTTTCCATCGAAGGTGAATTATGAAGGATTTTCCTTTCTCGGTGAGCTGCCTCCGCCTTGTTACACCGGTTGCGAGGGCCACGTCCGCAAATTCCAAACTGCCGCCATCCGAACCAATTTGTTCCTGTTCGCTTCCAGTGCCGTGGATTAGATCCATAACGTTTCTACGAATATTGTAGTCAAACGTCCGACGCGCTACATGTTCTTTAATCTATTTATCGAAATTACAATAAGCGTAAGGCAATACGAAGCAAACGGTAGAAACGTTGTACGACTAGGACGGTTAGGAACACGAAAGTCAAAACGGAGAAGACGCTAAGCGAACCAGACAAATCAAACGTAGCAACGGCAGAGCACAAGTGGATTAAAAAACGCATGCAAAGGGCCTTAACGAGACGAAACTATGCGAAAACACCAAACAGAATGTTGATGACGAGATTATGCAAAAACACCTAACAGAATATTGATTACAAAAAGGCCGAAAAAAGAGACAGATAATGCGATAAAGAGGGAAAAGATGCGCTTACAAACGAGAAAACAAACAAAGGAAACAAATACAGCCATGCGGCGGTAACACCCTATCGCTATCGGGGAACAATATTTTCCATGCGATGCAAACTGTGATAAATTTTCCTTTTACCGGAGTGGGAAAAGGGACTTGTCGCTTTTGAACATGATTTCAGCGTGAAAACAACGCTTGAATTACAAAAGCAATCTTTCTATATATCTAGTTTTCGGAAAAGAACTAATGCAAGTAGACTTGATGATGAATGTGCAGTTTCAGAGCTTTACAAAACTATACAGTGTGCATTTAACATCAAGAGTGATTTTAAAATCGTTAATTGGGTGACTAGATGAAGTGTAATCAATCTCGTGCCTTTTATGGTTTGTTCTACTCTCGAATTACTTTTTGCTTTATATCTCCTAAAGTAAAAAAAAATTTCAAAGTAAAATTCTCACAAGTTTACCTATCATATTTTAAAATATATATTAAATGTTTTGGAAATTGAAAGAGACATTTTTCCTTCAATTTTCAATCACTTCTGTTAGGAAAATTGCAAGTCGAACCATTGTCATTCAATAATTCCGGCGACGAACAGGTTCTAATACGTGCAACCTCGAGCACATAGCTCGAAATGCATGAACACATACTGCAAGCGTTTCCTTCGGAGGGCTTGCAGAAGAGTGCATTCTCAAAATAAAGGTCATACGAACATTGGAAAAGACTTTTCACGAATCCCACGGATGGCGTATGCTTAGCTTTTTAAATTTTAAATTTACTTCAACATCGACCTACAGAGAATTGTTTTTCAAAATCTGTTCACCTAATTTTATTCTCCAACTGAAAGTTTATCGATGTTCTAAGGTGTGAATTACACAGTTCTCAGATCGGGTCGTAAAGGTGGTTTTTAGGCAAAAAGTATAAGGAAGAGGTCGTGATATGCATGGTTTTTTAAAGTCCTAAATGTAATAAAGTCATCCAATGCCAGGGCATTGTTGTTATAACGGACATCCATATTGAAATTTTTACCTTGAGAGCTGTTAAACCAAAGAATCCTCTGACCAATATTCATGTCATATTCCGGGCTCTCTGATATTAATCTGCGTCTTTTTATCTTTTAGAGAAGTAAGTCGAGAAGTATTTGTTGCAAACTCTTAAACTGATGAGCTTTTGGCTTCAAATTTTACAGACGTCAAACCAAGAGAAAGCTGACCATCAGCTTTCACTTTAATACATTAAGGAGAGTTACTACACTTAGGCCTCAACACCTGTTAGCGTGTCGTATGAGTATCGCGTATGCGCCTGATCATTGTTTTTGACATCGGTTACATTAACAGGAATATTCCAAGGAAAAATGCTGTGCTGATGGAAAAAGGATGCTTCCAAGGAATCTTTTCCAGAAAAAAATATAGACAGGATTCCTCTAATCTTTCTAAATGAAGTCGATGGTCGCGACGGAAAATTCATGAAGGTAAGTTCCCTTCCGAATTGTTTGAAAATTTGCGTTTCTAACTGCGTCTAAAACTGCGTTCAAAGCATAATTTCAACATAACACACCGCTTTGTTGTTCTTTTTTTAGAAGAAGATATGTAGAGTCGGCGAAAAAACACTGAAACACAAGGAATATATGAAATTCATATATCTGAACTACGGTTATAGAAACGTATCTGTGCACGATCCTGGCAGTAAAGAACACTATTTAAACAATAGTGAGGATCAGACCTGAAAAAATTCAGGCCTGCACGGGATTTGAACCACTGGCCTCTGCGATTCTAGTGCAGCACTCTACGAGTTGAGCTAACAAGCCAATTGGGAGCAAGTCACCAAATTAATCAATTAGATCAGTGGTTTGAATCCCGTACAGGCCTGAATTTTTTCAGATCTGATCTTCACTATTGCTTAAATAGTGTTCTTTACTGCCAGGATCGTGCAGAAACAAACGCTGAAAATTCAACAGTTCACATCGACTATTCGTTTTGCGCGATTTTAAAACGTTTATCATGTTTGAATTCCGTGTTTTCTCCAATGAGGGCCCACGCGCGAGTAAACGCACTCCCCCCAATAAGCTCGCCTCCCAGGCCTAAAAGCCAAATAAG